TTAAATGCTGACTATTACATTTGTAAACTGAAGCTGATTATAAAGATCTGAGCACTTTTGGACTGTCTCCAATACTTTTGTCAAAACAACAAGGACTGCAACTTTATCTACATTGGGCAAACAGGTAAAAATCTTAATAAGTGCCTTTCCCAATATAAGATGCAATAAAACTGTGCAGCAGTTTAATGCAATATTTGAACATGCTAACCTTGTTGATCATGTCATCAACTGGTAGTCATCGAAATGCATTTCTTTTAGAAGCAGCTTTGTGGAAAGAAATCTGATCGAGTCTGCTCTCATTTGTCCCTGCCCTAATACCCTCAATATTCGCTAAAGCTTGTTCAAGTTAGACCCCTATGTTGGTCTCTAATATTGCAAAATTGCATGATCTCTAGCCATTCCCAATCTTGCTGTATTTGAACTAATTTTGTAAATTACTGTATTATAGATCCTTTTACGTTATTATTCTGCTCTGCATCATTTGGATTATTGCTGAAGGTGGTACAAGATAACTTGGTTAGTTGCGATAGGTTCCCGTATGCCATTACTCCGCTTACATTACCGCTTTTGAGTTAGGTGGTAAAAGGTACCATCACGTTTGGATCCTCACATGTCTTCTATTAACTTGAAATATTTATCGTTTTCTTAGACCATCAAAATGAAAGACCGAAATACTTGAGGTTTAACTGCATGGGAAGAAATTTGTTCCAATTTCTGTGTATATTACATTCTTTGTTCAATAGAATACTCATGATATTTCCCATTTTCAGTAAACAGCATGATGTTATTTAAGGCAATTGTTGTGACTAAATTTCCCCTCAATGCTATATTGTATTTCGTTATTTGTTTTCCCCTTCACTCACTCTTTATGCTTCCTGCCAACTGGGCTGTATTTGTGTGTACAATTTATGGCATCCAGTAGGCCAACACTTTCATCTTGCTGCTATTGATCCTCATCTGTATTCTCCCATTTTATCTTGGAGAAAAGATTGGAAACAATCTGAAAGCACTCTGATCTGTATACTCATTTCATTTTTCAAATGTGATAGTCAACATGCATGCATGCACATTATATATATGCAGTATATGCAATATTACATTATATATATATATGCATATATATATATATATATACACACATACATATACATACACACATACATACATTACTTACATATATTACATACACACAAACACACACACAAACTATCTTGCAGTTCCTGGCCTTTATCTTACACTGGAAAACATCACAAATGAATCAAGGACAAAGATTAGAATTTAAAAAAAAAAAAAAAAGGGGGCAAGCACTAAGCTAATGTTGTGTGTGAGGTGCAACACAAGTTATCTCAATGACATTATTATTATTATTACATGATCAGCTAGCCTGAACCATCTCATGTGGAGACCCTCGCTCTTGGCTCCGTAACTCTAGCAGTGGATGGTGTGTACTCAATTATCAAGGCCTATCGTCTGTGACAAAGCAGTAGTCAAACACAAACCATACATTAGCTACAATTTCTCTTCTCGGAAATTTTAGATATAATAAATATCTATGGAAATAGTGTTATACAATCCTTTCTCGAATCATTATATTATATTTTATATATATATATATATATATATATATATATATATATATATATATATATATATATATATATATATATATATATATATATATATATATATATATATATATATATATATATATATATATATATATATATATATATATATATATATATATATAAAATAAAAAATGGTAATGATGTACAGTGCAGTATTAGAAATATATATTTGCAACTGTGCATTTGATAGCAACAAAATTATATTTTCAACAACAGTTTATTACCACCTGGGTTAAAACAAAATTGTTAATTCACTTTTTACAAACATAATTTTTATAAGAACAACTAAAAATTTCCATGTATAATTAAAAACCAAAATAAAGTAACATTACCATTAAATAAAATATAAAACAAATTTATTTTACATTTGCAGAATTCTGCATATGCTAAAAAAAAAAAAAAAAAATCCCCCCCCCCCCCAATCTACTTCCTAAATAGTTTTACTTTGTAAATATTAATTGTATGGTATGTGTTTGAATACGACTGTAACCTGAGGCTCTAATGCATTATTAACACTAGCAATTATACGTGCTGCCGTCACTCATAGAACTGGATCTTTAATAGACTGCATACAAGATGTTGTTATTAGCCTTGTTCTTGGGGTAACTAAAGTACTCTTATTTACAGCATTAAATACAATTTAATTTCAATCCTATAAGGATATAGTGAAATTATAACAATCAAGTGTTGAATTTAAAAAAAAAAAGCACTTCTGGTGAGGTCCTCATAGTCATCCAAGCTAAGTGCTGGTCCAACCATGTCGTTGGAAAATGTACCAGGCTTTCGAGATCCACCCTTGCCTACTGGCAGCCAGGACCAGAATTTAGCGAATTACGAGGCGAGGCAAGCTAGGGGGATGACATAACTCAAAACACAATAAATCCCCCAAAAAGCCTAAGGAGTAACAAAACAAGCTACTGCTTTAAGAAAATTAGGTACCCATAGAAAACAAGCTAAATGATCATTTACTTTATGATCAAAAGGCAATATGGTAAATGATCCACCAAAGACCCTGTGACACAACATGAGACACCCAAGATGCAAGTGTGGTGATTAGCACTCTGACATTCTTCCACTATTTTTCAGCAGTGTTGACCAGCAGTTGTTCCAACATTTTCCAACAGTTGAGAGGCAGGACCAAAGAGCCAGAGCTCAACCCCTGCAAACACAACTATGCGAGTACAACTAGGTGAGTAGTACTACTTTATAACCAGGGCATAAGGGCAGGCAAGATGAACCCTGCCGACAGCAAAATCTGGACGAGCAACGAGAGCACCAGTGAGTGAGTAAGTGAAATCTCGCTCGCCTGAGCTAAAGGCACACACAAGAACCCTTCCCAGCCATAAAATGGAGCCAGGCCACCAACTCCAGCTGAAACATCAGGCTGAGTAGCTGAAGGGAAGTACCCATTACTGTCAAAACCTATGATGTCTTACCATCCAGAAAGACAGGAGAGGAGAAAATTGGATAGTGAATAGGAGGAAGAGGAACCAAATGGACTCTAATAAGGAATCCAAATCAGTTATCCTGCAGAGCACAGTGAGGTAAGAGGGAAAGTATCTTGACTAAATGAATCTCAAATTCCTTCCAGAAACACCTAGCAAGGTAAGGCTGAAGGAGAAACAAGAAAAACACTTGCAAAGTTCCAACAAGCATACACAAGGTGCCAGACTAGGAGCAACACCACTTAGCATGAGTATGATGTAGAGGATAGGCTCCATTAGATATGTGACCAGATGAGTAAGGGAGCAGGCTGGCTGGTACCATGGGTGACCGTGGCCGTCATCTAGAGCCAGTTTGTTACATCACGGTTAAAAGCATTTATGCCACAGCAACGATCGTTAGCCTCACTACCTTCAGGTACCTTATTTTCACCAAGACATCATATTTGCTGCCCTTATGCTTTTCTGGTAGGGGTCTTATCTCTGCATTTGGTTTGATCTCTGATCCCTAAGTTCTCCCTCACCTCGTAAAGAGACAAATTCTGGTCCTGGCTCCCAGTAGCCTCGGGTGAGTCTCCGAGGCCTGGTGCATCTTCCCCCAAGGCTCGGTTAGACTTCACTTAACTTTGGGAGCTACCGAGGACTATTCCCAGAAAAAGCTACTGGGAGTAGCTACTCCATAATGAGCTACTCCCAGAAAAAGCTCATTATGTCTGAGAAAGCTCATACAAATTTTTGAGCTTTTAATAATACATTAATTAGAATTTTGCAGTATTAAAATTAGTTTAAAACTTTGAATAAGAAAGTATGCTTGACTTTAGCCTTTTAAAGCTTATCCATATTTCATATTTGAATTATAGAATTTGGTAACAAATAAATTTAGTTAGTTTTCTTTGTTGTTAAATGATTTGCACATTTTCCTTATAATAAAGCCAAATGTTGAAAACAAAAAACTTTAATAAATAAATTACCATCTCAACTCCAAAAGCAACCAAACAAAAACAACACATTCAAACTTGCTTTTCACAAACAAAACCAAAGGCTTTAGAGGTGTCCATCATTAGGCCCATCAAATCAACCGACAACAATGTACAGTGACTTTGTTGACTTTCTCATCACGGGAGGTACTCTGTTTTACCTTCTCTTTCTACACTGACATGTGCTCCTCACTTCCTCCAAGCACATGCTCCTTCACAACCTATCCTCTTTCTGCAGATTTGATATTTGCAAACTTGCATTGCTTTTAAATTTGATAACTGTATTGCCAAATGTGCATTCCACATTTGCAACTTCCCATTGGGTTTTAACAAGATTTGGCTAAATATATAAAGAAATGTGTCAAAAATAAGTACACCTATAAAAATTTAAGCAACTACTGTATATATGTTTGTCTCTATAATAATAATATTATTATTATTATTATAACTGTTGCAAGGAGCATTTATAATTTGTATCAATTCAGTTTATAAAACTCTTAATGCACCTTAAAGAATGAAAACAAATGTGTGTGTGCAGTATGCATCAAGTAATACTTAATTTACTCTTAACAAGAATGCAATAAAATTTGAGCATTGCCATTTTATGACAAAAGATGCTTTAACTTCAAGTTACGTATCAAGAAGCATTTTTACCAGTCAAGCAAAATTGTTTTTTCTTTATTCAAAGTGATTTGAAAATTATTTCAAACTCTCTAAACTTCTACTTATCATACACTGCATACAAAGAAAATATTAATTAAAAGCTCATTCTTTTTAATACTCTAATTAGGCAAGAATGTCAAGCAGTATTATTAAATAATTACTGTATCTCAAACTTGCTATCTAATAAAATGCACGTACAACCACCTCAGGTTACAGCTGATCTCAAAGGTACTTTTCAGAGGGACACCGGCACTAATGCAAACAAACCTTGGCAATAACTAGTGACATACCTGAGTCTGAAGGCGAGTCAAGCCACGGATCCACAAAATTTGACCCGTACGCTTGCCATCCTTTCCATCAGAATCTAATTTATCCTCGATGGAGAAGTCAGCAATGGGGTCCGTTTGAGGCTCCCCTGAACCCCACCTATAAGTAAAAAAAATTTAATTTGAAAACAACTACAATAGCAATTACTGTATTATAAAACAGCACTCTTGTATTGTGCCTAAAAATTAAATGAACATGTCTAATTCATGAACATACCATAAACAGTATTTATATTTAACAGAAGTGTTCATTTTTAGTTTACTAAACTATTTCATACAACATCTCATTCATATAAATTTCAATTAGAACAGAGAAGGGGGGGGGGGGGTTACTTGGATCCACCACAGGATTGATACAGACAAAAGGGGGGGGGGGGAAGGGTCCTTCTCCCTCTACAACCTGGGACTTAAGGTCATTACTCTATTCCACTCCTCATAGGTCACTACAAAGGGCCTGGGTTTACAAATGAATATACAGAATAAATGTGGATAATCTTCCCATGTGACACACAGCCGAGCACATACACCTCAACTAACAACACACCATTCTCCCTACACACAGGGTTTCAAAAATCCTTATTTCCACAAATTCCTATCCCTAACTCATAAAGAAAAGGGGGAAGGCACCGCTATAAACCTCTATAATACTGCACTTATCGTGTTTGTTGGAGACCATCCACAACACAGGTCTGGCTCCCACTGCCTCTCCCAAGTGACTGATGGGGGCTGCCACATGCCTGCCTGGTTCCAATAATGTCCCCTCCCTATACATGTCATACACATTTCCCAATACTTCATTTATATGTCTTATAATGTTCCAGGCTGTTTTTCTACATTTAACATTGTTGTTTCTCTATATTTTCTTGCATTGAATCTGCTTTTTCTTAACCATTTTATCCCCTTTGTTTAAATTGGGTTTTCTTTTTAGGAGATTACATTTTCCTGTTGAGATGATACTCTGTGCATCTGAAAGGGGTCAGAGTTCCAGACTGTTTTTCCAACATTTAACATTGCTATTTCTCCCTACACAAGGGTCTCAATAGCACTGCTATTTCTCCCTACACAAGGGTCTCAATAGCACTGCTATTTCTCCCTACACAAGGGTCTCTCTCTTACATAATTCCATGTTATTCCTTAAGTCCCAGGTTGTAGAGGGAGAAGGATCCTCCCCCCCCCCCCTTTTTTTTGTCTGTGTCAATCCTGTGGTGGATCCAAGTAACCCCCCCCCCCCCTGCCACTCTGTTCTAAGAAGTGTGAGGAAATATGGTATTTGTTAAATAAAATCCTTTTGTAAAATTGTACCCCCAAGGTATATTCCTTATCCCATGTAGTTAGAACTGGTGACTATTACTATATAGACCCCTGCACTTCCATTATTTATAAGAAAGTAAGAGCGGGTGTTGTTAGCGATACTTTAGGGTATTCAATCTCGTACCTTACAACAATTAACAATAACGGAGCTGCAATCTTTTCATTTCCCTTCTTAAAGCCACACACACGTTTCTTAGATTATCTATCGCTATTGCTTTCTCTCCGATTGTTCAAATTCATGCTACAACTAGAAGTATAGAATAAAGTTGTTACAACAGTGAAAATTACTTACGAGAATACATTTTTAGGTAATTTTTTGGTTGGGATGGAGGTAACCACTTGTCCCCACAGGAGCACTCCACTTCCAAAGAGAATGCACCATAACCAAAGCTCCAGAGTGAGGGCTTCAGTGGAAAATGCCCTACCTCCAAACTGTACTATCACAACCTGTAGATGGAGCAATACATAAAGGTTGCATTCATTTATAACATGGCATACATATTTAGCCACAATACTCGCTACATCCTCACTATTTTATTTTCAATTCTCTTGGGGTGGGGAGGTATCAAGCCCAAAATTAAAAATAAAATTTATCAGGCCCAACAGAAAAAAAAAAAAATAATGAGTAAGTATATTATCAAAGGAGACTCCATTCGCTCAACATATCTTCCACTACACACTGCAGCATCACCTAAAATTCGCATCATAATACTCGAGCAATGCAAACCTCAGGGAAGTCATTCCAGCTAGATTGAGAGTTTTCATACAGTGCTCTCTCTGAACCAATATAATCCTGCAAAAATGTTAGAAAGGTTTCCTCTGGCACCATTGCCGGTGTGTAATTACCTAAGTGTAGTTACAGGATGAGAGCTACGCTCGTGGTGTCCCGTCTTCCCAGCACTCTTCGTCATATAACGCTTTGAAACTTTCATATTGTTACCATACCTAACTGCTCATGAGCCTGCCTGACAACACACTAGCACTTCTTGCCTTGGGAAGCTATTCTCAAAGATGCTTTTCATTATATACACTTGAAGACTTATTTATTCCTATTATACACTAATTTCAGACTTTCTAGTGTTCTTAGAACTACTGTATTCTAAAATTAGCATCAATAATGTTTAAATTTGATTATAATCTTTCATAACAATACCTTAAAGAAGTCACAATATCATTAGAAATAGCGTCAACCCTCAATCTAAACAAAAAGGTCAGCATGAATTGCGCAGCTACAAGGTTCAGGATTTGATGTGAAAATTCAAACTGTGCCACACACAATACATGCAAGTATGAGAGTGTGCAATGCTTCACAGAACACAACATGGTTCAATATCATGCTTGCACCTCGTGAAGCCTCACAATTACCTTGAATTCTTCACATAATTTTCATTAAAGTCTTACATCATGGCACAACCTAGGCTCATTATGTTATTTTATTTATTTTATTCATTGCTGGAAGGAGTAATAGTAGTAATGCTTATTTTTATCAAAAGAAGTGGAAGAAATTGGGTTTTTGACTTCTCTAAAATGTACATCTACTCTTCCCATGTAAAATTACTCTGATGAGTGAATTCTCTTGCATACGGTTTTCTAAGAATGAATCCCTTATGTAGATATAAGAGTAATACACACGTTCTTGCATAATAGGAAAGCTTAACTATGAGAGGGATTGTAGCAGTAACAACTCGGAAAATCAGTAAGACATTAGAAAGTCTGGCCTCAGATCGAACCCAAAGAGTAAGTGGGAACTATAAACATTATTCTCACCTGACTTGCTAGTGTACTCAGCCAAATGCTGTAGAAAATGGGATTACTAAAGAAGCCCTGAAAAACGTTGCGCTGCCCATGGATTTTCCGTGCATTGATTTCGTTGAAGAGAGTCATCATAACAAAAGTATTGAAGATGATGGTAAAGTGCTGGGAAGGTGGATCACGGATGTCAGCGTAACGTCCAGAGTCTATGTCTAACAACTTATCACCTGTTGACAAACATTTTTACAACATTATCAATGAAACATTAGCATAATTATACACACAAACACTAATTATAATATAAATAATATCAAATACAAAAGTGTGAAACAAGTATAAACTATATACTGTACTTCCACTCGAATGGAGTGAATTTATTCAGCACGTTGAATATAATTTCCGACGATAATTATGGTATTCTGGTAGGACAAGACTGATCTTTGAATTATTAACCAACAGTACTGTATTTAAAATATTTACTTTTATAATCTCCAGATAAATAACTGCACTTTAATGGTACTTACCATAAAATAACAAAACGAATATAACCAAAATCATGTACACTGCTTGACCTAGAATATTCTTCATCATGGTGCGCGAGATGAGAGGTTTGGTGCGACCATAGGGTTTTCGCTGAAGGAGATCAGGCGTTGGAGCTTCCGTTGCCAATGCCAGGGAAGCCAGTGTGTCCATGATAAGGTTCACCCACAACATTTGTACAGCCTGGAGGGTTTTATCAAATAATAATTATATAATCATTCATTGTATCGGGGAACAGGAAGCCAGTGTGTATTCATACACATTAGGCTTTTATCGAGGCCCCTCCAAAAAGGTGGAATTACTGACCCCGCCCAGGATGCAACTCCACAACAAGCTGACTAACTCCTGAGTACCACCTATTTACTGCTAGATGAAAGGAAAATGTGCCCAACTATTTCTGTCCTGCCTGGGATTCGAACCCGGAATTCTCGATTGTGCGTCACCCGAACCCAACTGTACTGCCAGGACCCTACACATTATAAATATACACATCACAATTTTCCCTGCAGGTTTTGCTTCAAAACAATAAGAACCAATAAAAATGTATAAATATTAATTAAATGATTCACATACACACAAAAATGGAAGAGTTATATAATATATGCAACTATTGATACTAAAAACAGGAGAATAAGTGTGTTTACCTTAAGAGGGCTATCATTGATGGCACACGCACCAACAAATGCTACAATAACAGCAACGACATTTACTGTTAACTGAAATTGTAGAAATTTAGCAATGGAATCATATACATTGCGCCCCCACATGACAGCCTTGACAATTGAGGTAAAGTTGTCATCTGTCAGAATAATGTCTGATGCCTCCTTTGCAACATCAGTACCAGCGATGCCCTGCGGATGCCACAGTCCCATGTTATGAAGTACATCAAGTGGATAAAATCTTTTCATAGCAAGTAATACAATCAAAATTCACTTTTGCACAAATTTTTCAAAAGGTGTATAATGTATTCTTGCATCTATTATTGCCTCCTTTTAAGACAGACTCACTCACCATAGCAAAGCCGACATCAGCCATTTTGAGGGCAGGGCCATCATTGGTCCCATCACCAGTTACAGCCACCACTTCTCTGTTGGCATTTATTTTACTTTCTATAATACCTTTCACTAATGTGTATTTATCTGTAGGAGATGAGCGGGCCAACACACGCAGGTTCACCCACAGTTTGTCTATTAAATGTTGTTGGATCTGAAAGCAGGTTATAGTTAGACGTCTTTCAAGTGACAAATATTTGTAAATACTGTATACATTTTCTTTTCTACATATATCCACAGCAGATGGGGAAAAAAATTCATAATTTTTTCTTCCTGTGTATCATTTTTATCTAACTACAATATATAGTATGTTTTGTTGGGGACAGAAAGACAGGATACACATACACACACATAGGTATGTATGTATACACACACACACTGTATAGATGAGGGAAATAGGATAGTGCATTAAACAACTGGCAGCTAGAAACGTGGGGTCTAAGAGCTAATGCTCGATCCTACACACACACAACTCACTCCCTGCAGGCTAGTCCCCCCCCCCCAAAAGGTCGAACCGCTGACCCTTCCCAGGATGCAACCAGGAACAAAGGCAACCCAAGTTGCCTAACTTCTGGGTACCTATTTACTGCCAAGTGAACAAAGGCATCAGGCAACAGGAAATGTGATCAATACTTTCTGGCTCGCCCGGAGACCCAACCCCAGATCCTCAAGTGTGGGTTGAGAACATTACATGTGTAGCAGAGACCTGTATTAGTGCCAGCTGTATTTCTTACATGCATTAAGAATCTTCCTAGGCTTAAACCACTTTGTGACACTCTTAAGCAATATTTATTTTTTGTGTTCATCATGGGCTGACAGCTAGCATTATTGTGGCCACACAGTTTAACAGGTTTCATGAATAGATTGAATAAGTATTGCATATAGGCAAGAAGGGGTTAGGGTAAAATGGGATGAACTTTGTATGGACCAACAGATCGGCTGCAGTGCTTCCTATGTTGTTGCTGTTGTTTTAGATTCAGCTACTCAGAACAAAAGTTCCAAGTAGCATGGACTATGGTGAGCCCATAGTGGACTTAAAGTGCTCCCTAATGTTAATTTTCTTATATGAAAACTCAAATATCTTTGGCGAGAAATATACAAAGGCAAAATTCCTAAAAAAAATCTAAATCAGTCCATTCCAAAAGAAGTCTAAAAGATATTAGTCAAGATTTTAAAGGCTCTCCTATATTATATTCTTGGCTAAGAATCCTTTCAAGAAAAATATTTCATCTTCGGTATAGAAGACGACACTATGTGCACTCCTAGCTGAAAGCAATGCTCACACGGGGGTAAGACTTGCCCTTAGCAAATCTTATACTGCCTCCTTTATACTTTTATACTGTACAACAATAATTAACAAGGATTACAAACAACAGAGTATAGATAATTTAACCGAGTATCTTGACTGAACCTAGAAATGATCCAACTCTCTCTCTCTCTTTTTCTTGCATATTCTAATGACAAATGCTTTGATGAGCCAAAGGATATTTTTTCAACATTCTACTCCGATCTGAGGTCGATCAAGGCTTCCAATAGTTCCCATATAACTGTTATTATCTACCTATCATTACATATTATAAATACAAAAGTATTTATATCTAATTTTTACCTTTTTAAGTACTTATTCCATATTTCTTCAACAGTGGACACCATTTAGTGGATATATCTAATCATAAATTTTAGGCCTATGTTGCCTATTCCCTGCTCTACTGATGATGATATTAATACAAACTTTCTAAGAGATTTCATCTCTACTCATTGTTCATATTTTAGAACATATTAATTTAACAGTTATTAAAGTGATAATTCTTACTGTTTATTATTAAACTTTTATAAGAAAAATAGTATTCTGTTTTATTCTTATTATTCTTATAGCTGCATCATACATCATTACTATGTTTCTCACTGTAATGAGGCATCAGCCTTGAGAAATAGGCAAAACAAAAATATACTAAAGGGTTACAGACATCAGTAAAGGTATTAAGTAATACAATTTTAACAATATTTTGAGTAACTAAGAAATGTACTACAATCTTTAAAATAGATATTATAAACGTCTGCATCACTTACTTTGCCCGACTCATCTCTAACTCTCCTATTAAATTCTTTTCCTTCTAAAATAAGGCTATTGTCTCCTGGTTTCAGAATGCCACACTTGGAAGCAATGGAGCGTGCAGTGTTGATATTGTCGCCGGTAACCATGCGAACTGTAATGCCCGCCCGTTGACATCTGTGGATGGCATCGGGTACCTCAGGTCGCACTGGATCTTCAATGCCCAATACACAGAGACAAGTCAAGTTGCTGATAATGTTGTCTTCATCTTCCCAGTTGGGTTCATTTTCAAAGTGCACCTAGAATAAATAAGAAATGGGTGACTTAAAATTTAAGCACAGACAGGAAAGGCCACCAATGAGGCCAGGCCACCTGCACCCTCGAGTGGAGACGGAGAGGCACTTGTTCCTTTAGCTCCGGCCCGGTCACCATCGGCTACATGCCCTGCTCTCTCTCTAAAGGAACCTGCTCACTCGATCACATCCCACTTCCCACTAGGAAGGTTGGGGGCAGGGGTTGCTCCATACTGGATTTGTTTTGTACAGTTAGAGGAGATAAATAACTAAATAAGGTTAACTACTGTCTCCTCTACTTCAGTGAAGCCATTATTGGAATTTATAGTGAAGAGTGTCTCTACATTAGAGAGATTCAAAATTGAGTAAATGTAATAATTCAAAACTAAGTACCAGTAATAAACAAGTAATACAACATATTGTGAATATTAACAAGAAAACTAGTTATGAGCAGGACTGCAATATAAGGACAGGAAGAAAAATACATCAGTATTAACATCTTCTAGTGCCAGTACTAGGCAAGATGAAACTGGCAACTGTGCCACAGGAACACAGATAAGTAGAATGACTGGAGAGTGAAATTAAAACAAAAGGAACATCTTGCCATTTGTTTAGCATTATCGTGAGAAGTAATAGTTTCAGTGCTCAGCATTTTGTGCAAAAAAATTAAGACGGCAGACTGGAATGAGCAATATTTTAACATACAAAGAGAGAAAAGGGAAGGGTAGAGGAGAGAAACGACACCCCATCTGGGATTCAGAGAGGAGGAATAATCAGGGAGACGGGACCATATCAGATAAATAATTTGAGAAATTGTGGGGTGTCTAAGCTGGTACGAGTATACGAACAACTTAATGAAGGAACTTATGAAAAAAGAAGCAGTACAAGAAGAGAAATTGAATGAGCATATAGATGCTCTGAAGTGATGAAGGAAAGTGAGATACACATACAAGAGATTAAAGATAACCAAAGGGAGGGGACAATTTAACAGAAGCATTATGACAATGAGATATACAAAGTAAGATTATACAGAAGATAACTGGATAGATAGGAGGAGGAGACAAGGAAAATATAGTAGACAAGAAGCCAGGGAAAGGATGGAATAGACATAACATTCACAGCAGCAGCCACCAGCTACAGACATTAGGAGAGCAATCAGATCACTTGTATACGAGACTGTGAAAGACTACACAGGTTGTACAACTGGCAGGTAATGATAACAGTTTCCCCAAGCCAACGAGAGAGATATGGAAAGAAATGAAAGAATGATTGGAAGGAAATAATAGACCCCCCTAAAGATACGTATGACTGGTGAGGCACACAAAAGATTTAGATACAGGATAAGGTACAGGTAACAATCATAATGGGTGTAACAGTGTTATTCAGAACCCAGGGAGCTAATACAGTACTGGATAACATGAGAAAACTGAGGATTGCAAGAATATATAGGAAGGTATATCTAAATACAGACAAGTCTGAAGTTGAGAGAGGGAAGGATGAAAAAAAAAAAAAAAGATACAAAATGAAATGCAAATGCAGTTAGCGGTACCCATGATCACAAACACGTATGGAACACTCAAGCATCAACAACAACAACAACAAAATATTATAATGCAGCTCTGGGCTTCCAGGTAATTGCCATTATCCAGCTACACAACATACAGGTATGATTCCAAGGTCTCTCTTGCCCCCTAATTCCAGAGTGTTGAACCCTATTCATTCTATACAAGGATACAATCCTCCAATAATACTCAATAAAACTGAACAATATAAGAGTAATGTACACTAATGAGGATGGTATAATAAACAGGTCAGAGAAAATACATGTAAGGGTACAGGAGATGCAAACACACATCATTGCAATTAGAGAAATGAACTTAACAGCAATCATATGCAATGCAATCTATAAGGTGTTACCAAGAGATCAGAGAAGAACAGGGAGGGAAAGGGAGTTGCACTGCTATATGCAGAAGGAATTTGAGGAAATACCCATGGGAGTAGAAGTAGTGAGCACAGTTTGATCCCAATCAAAACATCCCGGATTCGATTCCTGAGGCAGGGCAGATGTTTGGGCAAGTTTTTCTTTCACCTGATGCCTCTGCTCATCTAGCAGTAAATAAGTACCTGGGAGTTAGCCAAGTGTTATGGGTTACATCATGGGGTAGGCCAGACATTGGCCTTTGGGAGCCGGTCGGCCGAGCGGATAGCACGCGGGACTTGTGATCCTGTGGTCCTGGGTTCGATCCCAGGCGCCGGCGAGAAATAATGGGCAGAGTTTCTTTCACCCTATGCCCCTGTTACCTAGCAGTAAAATAGGTACCTGGGTGTTAGTCAGCTGTCACGGGCTGCTTCCTGGGGGTGGAGGCCTGGTCGAGGACCGGGCCGCGGGGACACTAAAAGCCCCGAAATCATCTCAAGATAACCTCAAGATGGGTACCTTGAAAAGCCTAATAGGCTTCCTGTTCCAGACAATGGGAAACAGGAAACAATGTACAACCCCCAGTTGACAGCAGAAATAAAAGAAATGTGCATAAGGAGAGCAAGTGTGTCTAAATACAGCCTAAATATCACAGGGAGGGAAACTATGGTGGTATGTAGATCAAGAGCAGAGCTCCTGGCTCTTTGTGATTCTAATCACAAGGAAATTTACTAATTAATGAAGAATCTATGAAAGGACAAATGGAAACTATTGATAGATAATTTTCTAAAGCAGCCTATAACAACCTTACTTTTCTTGGTTGTAGACAACAAAAGGAAGGAGATAGGAGATATTATACCCGATAGAACATCAGGCATAATATTGCTATACTGTAGTACTCACCAGCAATATTATACCTGATGTTCACCCAAAGTGAAGTAGATATTGAGGGGATAATATATATGAGCTGGCACTTTGCTGCCAGTGACCACTGTGTTGTGGTGATAGACTATAGGAGGGAGAGATGATCCCTAAACTCTACTAATACTCGCTATACAACCCCAGAAGTCCTAAAACTTGTCTGGGAGTTTAAATCTAGCTCTCTAGCTTTAAATTTTTCCAATTCTAATTTCCAATTGCCTTGTACTAAAAGTCACAGCCCCCCCCCCCCATTTGGTTTGCCCAACTGGAACCAACTTGACCCGAGTACCCACTCTTAGCTTGACCTACCTTTCAGCTGCCCAGTCTAGTGGCTATATTACTGGTTGATGCCACCTCTCGGCTATCCATTTATGGAATATTAGCCCATTTACCACCTAATCTGTAACTCCCAACAAGGCATTTTGATTTAAGGTACTGTCTTGTCTTACAGTGTATATAAGTAGCTACTAAATGTCTAAATATATTAAATTAACCTGAATTTATTCAACTCTTAATTGACTCGCTAAACAGCTCCATTATTTAAAATATTAATTAATATTTTTCCTTGTAAATATGTCCTCATTCTCCTCCATGACCAATACTAGCACTGTGCGCTATCCCCTTTGGAGCCTCTACTTTTATCAGTTAAGCAAATGATACATACTTGCCTATAACAACATTCCATAAAATATATTTATCACATTCACAGCATAATATAATTTTGTTTACTGAACTGAATCAAATGTGAGGTGCAATTTTTCAGACCAAAGTAGCAGTTATTCTCTGAATTCCTGATTCATGATTTCCAGATGTAGAAAGTATGAAACTGTAGTACTCGTCCATCAGTTTAATGTAACTGAACGATATGAAAGTGTGTATACTCAACAAAGAGAAAAATAATATAGCCTTTTCTTGATTGTCAGGTATTCATCTAGAAATGGAAAGACTTTTTTGCAAATGATTAAGCATATAGATACAAAAATTATTTAACTACAGAAATCAAAATCAAATGAACTTTTCAAGGATTATAACAACTTGCATCAAAACAGATTTCTTTTTCCATGCCACTATGGAAGAGCTTGCACAGACTAATACAAAAGCACTATGTGGCTCACCAACCAACTTCGATGCTAAATTGCCTTTGGTTCTTTATCTCAGTCTACCCTCAAAGTACTCAACTATACATCGAACTGCTGCCATGTATTAACTCAGTCCATACACGTAAGTTGGTACATGTTCTCTTAATAATTAAAATATAAAGATAACCTATTTACACATAATAGTTACATTTCTTGATGTTCCTTCCTCTTGTTTCATTGAAGGTAATGCATCTACTTTAGCTTTTGGGAATTGAGTTGGTGTTTCGAATTTGATGAAGTATTTGTCAGTAAAAAGATTCTAACGGCACATTTAAAATCTGGCTTTGATGTATTTAGAGTAAATATATTAATCAAATATAAGAAGCGATTAATACAGGCATAGATTGTAAATCGTTTAATTACTTCACATAAGCTAACAGGAGGATACCAGTAGGCTTACCACCCACACAGACACTACCATTATTAAGGTAGTTCAGTGGTTATAAAGTAGAGCAGCAGGGTGGTGTGGAAGACAACACTGCTAACCACTTGAAGCAATACACCTTTCGCTTTAGCTAACCACCAAGGGATTCAATGTTTTACATGCCCGCATGTGAATACTTTAGCAGCTTCCTAGCCTCCTAAAATTTCATGATTAGAACTGCCACCAAGAATGTAAAGTGCCATTCATTATATCAGTCACTCAGACTGATACTATCCAAGAGATGGTTACTTGGATGGCTTTACCTGCTTTTAACCAATTCAAACTTTGTATGAAAAACTTCTGCATTATAGGTGCTTACTTGTAGCAACCGCATTTTTGTAAAACTTGCCTTTATATTTTTTAGTTCATCAAAGAGATGAACAAATACAAACTATGAAAATCTACAACAATCTTAATTTTATATGGGAGTTCTGTTGTCAAACTCCCTTTCACTTGAGGGGTTAAGTGAAATAGATGGAAAGCTTCTGCATGCATCGACCTTGTCTATACTGTATGTAAGAAATATCACTAAAATAGTAACTGTGTTTTTGCAAAAGGCTTTGTGATGGCATGCAAACTGGCATACCATTAATTATGAAAATATAACTTAGTCTGTATGCAACTTAAAAAATAGCCAAATAAGGTAAACAAAATAATGTACCTGGTTTATTTCAGCTTTTCCTCGAACAAAGTCTCTGTATGCAATAGAGATTGTGCGAAGACCATTACACGCCATGGGTTCAATTACTTCTCGAACTAGACGATCTTGCATCGACTTCGAGAAGCTCTCTAGTCTGCCATCCTTTCCATGGATGAAGGAGCACCTGAAGTAACATGATTGCAATGAGCTTTTTTGTTTATAGGTATTTTTAGCATTAAAAACAATTTTATCAGAATTTGAGGATACAGATTTGAGACCTTAGTACTGTCAAGTTCTCCACCTGAATGACGCACCTCTGATACATGGAACATTTGAGACCTTAGTACTGTCAAGTCCTCCACCTGAATGACGCACCTCTGATACATGGAACATTTGAGACCTTAGCACTCTCAAGTCTTCCATCAACATAACACACATTATATATGCTAATATGAATAGAATTCTAAGTGTTTTTTAACCTACATTTAAAAAATAGTAAAATTTGCTAAGTACAAGAGTGGAGTTATGACTAATTAGTCATTCAAGAAAGAGAGAGCAAGCGAGAGATGAAGCTCTAAAGGTGTCTTAGGAAAATTAGATATAAAAAAGCATCAAAGAAAAAATAAAAATTGGGTTGACAAAAGATATAAGAGAATGTGATACTGGATGTACTAGTAATATAGTAATAACGCCTCATGTTAATAAAATAATTCAGCATGTGGGTATTTTACAGTGACTTACGAGTGACTTAACGAAGTCTTATTTCCCTTTACTTTTCTTTATTTTTCCTTCATGCATTTAACTCTACATTACTATCCTAGGGTGTTTAATTAAACACCCCAAACATCATTGTGTCACATATGTTATAAAATATACTGCATCAAATTCTATATCAGAAAATAATAATGCAGAGAATCATAAGATACTTGAATATCATTATAAATCTATGTTAAATTACATAAATGACTATACAGTAATTACTATTAAATTTCTTGTGCTGGGTTGAGCAAACACCCTAGGGGTACAAATGAAGTTTGGATACCACAGAGCTCTACTATAGGGTATAATGAGTTCTGTATGCAATTTTTATCATTAAATTCTTTTAAAGGGCTGCTGTATACATTTGTAATATTTTTCCTTTTTGGTATTTTGCCAAAAATTTGACACAAAGTTTTCACAGTTTTTACTGAAAATTCCTCGAATTCTTGAATGTTCAATTAAGGTAATGTTGAAATGTTAATGCGTGTGAATTTGATATTCTGTTAAAAGTAAGGTTGCTAAAGTGAGGCCTTACTGTTTTATTTCAGTGACAATTTCTATAATTTTTGAAAACTTATTATAACTTTCCTCTAACATCCATATAATGTGCCCCATTTTTAAACAAAGTGTATGCAGTCAACGATCAATAATCAGTGCCAAATGCTACATATTCACTGCCAATGTTGTATTTGTTTTCTAGGCTATTGCACTATAGATTATTTCGATTGGTCAGATAAGGAGAGGTGAGGAAGTTTTAACATTTTCTTTATAGTAGTATACAAAATCACAAACCTACCATCCTGCAACTTCTATTACAGTAGCACCATGAACAATTTAAACCGTATCCAAGCGTATTCGTCTGTTTACGGCCTTAATACAGAAGTTATAATACAGTGCTATATTATCCTGTATGTAGTGTCGGGCTTCAAAAGGCACTTTGAACTTTATAGCAATCATCTTGAATTATTAGCTTTCGACTTGCTTACGAAGTGCCGTGTGAAAATACTGTTAACTAAACACATTCACAACAATAAACTTTGGGGGAGTAACACGAGCTTTGCAATTGAGGAACTGTAACAAGTACATGATAATTTTGGTAATAAGTCATCAACAAACAGTATGCATAAATTATACAAAGCTCTTAAAAACACATAACTATTCCTGGTATGTGTAAAATATGTAATGCCAAAGTTATAGTCGAGGATGTGATAAGTATTTTCTATGTTAGTACACATGACTAATAAATACTCACCCAAGGTAGCAAGTGTGATGTAGCTATGGCTGACAAATTATTACTTATGCAGTCTATGAAATATGGGCTCTTGGCTGCATAATGCAGACTTAGCCAGGTACCAAGAGTGATTTGGGAAGTGCAGAAATTGACATATAGCAGAATTAGTATTGGATAGGAATGAATTTTTGTTACACCAATATATTATTTTAAGCATTATTAACCCTAAAAACCATATAGGAGCATAAAATTAAATGTGAGAATATAAAACTTATGCAGCAGCATTTAAATGAGGATCAGTGTAATGCGTTTCAAATGACAAAGTACAATGGAGTCACACTTTGTTATATTACAGTAGTGCAAGCAATAGGCCGCAAACAAGTCTGAAACAGCAAAGAATTAATATGGCCGTACAACTCCATACCCAAATGAACAACCTTATCCCCAGGAAACAACCATTACCCAGCAACACAACAGGCAGGAATGAATCCCAAGATATGTCACTTGTGCCCCCTTCCCTCCACTCCAAACCAAGACCATGTTGAAGCCCACAATCCCTACCAATCCCCTAGTAATAATGAAGGGGGGAAACTAGTAATGCATGTGAATGGTGTAATGCATAAGTTAACACTAAAAATAAGACGCAGCCACACAACAACAGCATCACAATGGATGCAATGTTTCCAAGAGGTTAACAAGAGATTAGAAAACAAAAGAAACAAGGAAGGAGAGCGAGTTACACTGCTATGGCTGCAACACCATTTTGTCAAACTATGAGGTAGTGTCAGACATGACAATGTACTGTAGATGATTTAAAACAGAAACGAAAAGTGAGAAATGACGCAGACTGCACAATACTACAGAAGGACCTATACAGACAACAGGAACAGATGGACAAAAGGCAACTAAATGGTTAATTGTGGATCATTCATTTTAATTTTTCTGCATCAGCAAATTTCGACTTGTTAATGGATTATACACGTAAAATAATATTAAAAAAAATTGTACAGTACAACAGTTATATTTAGTGCTATTGGATCTTGAATGAATGCTATTCCGTATAAAGCATGACTGAACCTTCAACATTTAATGTAATCAAGATCTTTATTTTTCCAAGGTTTCTGGAACTTATAACCAGACAAGATCAACTTAACTGGAGCACTCCAGCTTTTCATTAATATATATTTATTGCACACCACCCTTACTCACCACCTTAAGTATACAAATACTATACACTGAATTTACAGAGTCGATGGTAAACAATTTGCCGAGATAATGAGAACATTATTCTTATTAATATTCAATAAAACAAGGCAATAATATTTTCCATGTTATGAAATGCGTGGACAGTAACACAAGTCTGCATCACTAGTACTAGAATGTCACCATTAACTTTATCATTACATCGCTAACATCATCTACAGAGTTGGGGGGGGGGGGGGGGAAGATGATGATGCACTTGGCCTTCAGTACTGTAATTATTAAATGCAGTAAAAAATAAAGTGACCCTTAGTGAGAAAATAATAAAGATGGGGTTCCAAGCCCAGTAGCCTTCTCCTTTATCCGGGGCAAGGATAAGTGGACGTCAACCAGGTCACCATATCCTAAGGCCAATTTTAATAAAAACTCCATATACAACATATTGCTAACATAACTCCATATACAACATATTGCTAACATAACAATGTTAGCAATCTTACCCTACACTCAATACAGTGGCGGGAGTTATCATAGAATAGGTTACAACATACCTATATATTAAAATAATGAATCTTTAACAGAAGCCTTAACAAAAATTGCTTTTTAAACTGTCACAAGTAAAGTATTGTTCGACTATTGAGAACTACATTTGGAAGCCGTATATGGAAAGTAACAAACAATACATCTACAGATGAAAACCATTAATGTAATAGATTTGTGACATCCTGGAAATAAATGACAACTAAGCTCGAAACACGTATAGTGAAAAAGTAATGTATAATTTGTTTATCAGTGATAGGAAGCCTGTGTGTATGTATAATATAAGAAGTATAATATTATTTATATATATATATATATATATATATATATATATATATATATATATATATATATATATATATATATATATATATATATATATATATATATATATATATATATATATATATATATATATATATATATATATATATATATATATATATATATATATATATATATATATATATATATATATATTTATTATTTATTTACTTTATTTACACATACATAAACACACTTTATATTTTAGTCTCTTATCAACTCCCAACCCCCAAGTTGAACTATTGACCCTTTCCCAAGATGCAGCCCCACAACAGTTGCCTAACTCCTGGGTACCTATTTACTGCTAGGTGGACAAAGGCATTAGGCAAAAGCATAAATACGTGCCCAGTCATTTCTCTCTTACGCAGAAATCGAACCCGGGATCCCCAATTGCGAGTCGAGAAGGAAGCCAACTGTACTACAAGACCCAACTGAATTATAAATCTCACAAAGATTCAAGAGAGTATGATTAATGCAAAAGAAGAATTGGTACCAACTCGGGAACAAGAGACCGAACAGATAAATCTGAATGAAGTGTCAAGTGCATGTTCACAATGTTGCACAAAATGGTAGACAAGTGGCAGGGAACCATTGGTAATATTTATAAGCTGCAAAAAGCTGCTAAAGATGAGGAAAAGTAGTAAATTCTGCAAATACAACATGAAGAAGAAACAGACTGGGAAAATTGTTTGTAAGAAACAAAAAAAAAAAAAAAAGGAAGAAACACACCAGTTCTGTTAAGTTTAGTATCCCCAACATTGTGCCAGGAGTAAGCCATACTCCTGGCACTATATACCTGCCTGGATGCTTTATACCTTACATCATCATTGAGCAAGTATACCACAAAATATCCCTTCTTCCCTCTTGTATCCAGATTAACCAGAGCTTCTATTCTTTAAGGATGGACAAAGCCATCCAATAGAGAATAGTAGTCAAAAGGCTAACGCACACAAAATGCGTATGGAATTACAAATGCGATGGTATCACAACAAGAACGGGTTTTGAACAGTCACAAATTGCTGCAACACTGGAAATATAGCCCTCGAGTGTTAAAGAAGATGTACCCTTCCCAAGACTATGCCAGATAATTGATAAAATAATTAGGTTAGGAGGAGTAGTATCTGATGCTCCAGCTGAATTAGAATTTTAAGGAAAATAACATTTTGATAAAACTTTAAGAATGGCAACAGTGGATAATAAAAAAAAACAATTGTGGTTATTTACAGCCTACCAAATAATACCAGAAGGCACAGGGAAAAGGATGACAAAAGCAATGAAAACCGTCTGAAGATCATGGAAATGTTTTCAATATGTTGTAGTGTGAAGTCATGTGAATGTTATGAATAAAGTTATATTGCAAATTTCAACAGGAAAAAGAACTATTGACTGAAGAAAGTATTGCTTTACACAAATTTTACCAATTTATTGTTATTAACTGCAAAAAAATTAACATTTGCAGACTAAAGAAAAAGGATTTGAGTGAAGATGAAATGCTCTTATCTGAGTAAAGCAATGCTCGCTCTCCCAAGGAAATGACCAAATGGCCGGATCAAGTCAACAATCATTTCCTTACGTAGCGGAATAGTTTGCAAATGTCCCTGCCAAATTATAAGAGGAATAACAAAAATTGTATACAGTACTGCTTTATCTAGAATGACTTATAGAAGTTTCATTCCTCTACATTTGAAACCACTTATTGAAACTACACTTGTTATTAAACGACTGGTGGGCCATATTCCAGGGGAAATTAGTGGTTAATGCTTTCAATGAGCTATGGGATGGGAAAGCCTGCTAACAGGAGTCAGCAGCCATATGTTTCTGTACCCACCAGTACAGAAAAAAAAAAAAAAAAAAAAAACACTGCCATCACCTGGCAGAGAAAAAACAAAGTAGAGAGCAACGAATGCTGAACAGAAATTTGCAGATCTACTGAACAACAAGATCTGGTGTTCGTATAGAGCCACCAGAAGCAAGAAACTGATAAACCTACTCTCCAGTAAACCCACACCGAAAATGACTGTGAAGCAAAACAAACATGGGAAGTGGTAGTTTGTCCAATGTTAACAAACTATGTGTTAGTTAACCCTTTTTCCGAATAGACAGTACATTTTAATACTAAATGTAACAAGTACATGTCTGACTGTCTGCATAGTACATAAATACACATAATTGTGCTGTTACATTTACCTCCCCATATATTCTCCTCATTTTCTGTTAATACACATAAAATTTTTAGGTTGAAGTTTTTGTGTTCAATTCTATATACACAAGTTTTTAAATATAAAGAATTTATTTTTCAGTTTTATTAAACAATAGAGATTTTATACAAAATTTGAAAATATCCTGAGTTACTTTATAATTTATTGAAAGACTTTAGTTTTGTTTTATTAGTTTTATAAAATTGTAATATCAATATAGTTATTGGTTAAGTACTAATTGTAATTAAGAAGCAATAAATGCTATTTACACGCTTGTCCTCCTACACTCCCAAGGTTAGGTTAGGTCGTGGTTTTGTATACAGCTTTTCAGGTAAACTCAGGTAAACTTTTCAGGTAAAAAAATATTTACAATATTTTGGTGCGATGCTGGCGATTAAGTGTATTTATGTACTATGCCCGATGGTCAGGATTGTACTTATTACATTTAGTATTAAACCGTACTGTCTATTCGGAGGATGGGCTGGTGTTAGTACCCTAGTGCACCACCAGGTGGCAGCTCAGGCTATCCAGGCATTCAACCTGGTTTGGGGCACTGTTTGGTCATTTTTTCTGGAGAACAGGAAGGACGTTGCCTTAGGGAGAAACTGGGTAGTCTAGCCCCAGAAGTATCTATCTTCAGATGTTCTGATACTTCTGGAAGCTCCTTTTTCTTAGAAGAGTAAGCCATTCGTCATTAAATCCATGGAAAACTGAAGTGCTCAATTAAGAACTTTTTTAAAACACCAGAGTTTAGTTATCATATGTATGTAGTAATTACTATTTACTTATAATGACAAGTATGAATGCAAATCTCAACATATATAATAAAATTTGTAAGATTAAAACCTGGAAAACTGAAGGATTGAAAAGGTAATGTGGAGGTGGGAACACTTACCACTGTCGTGCTGTAGGGTAACTGTATCCTTGAAACAACCTTTAACACCAATATATTGATATTACTTCAAGTCTTGGGTATATTGATCTACCAAAAAATTTTACATTGAAATTCTAACATAGTAATACCATCGTCATTTATCCCCCCCCCTTTTTTTTTAAACCGTCATATACTTATTTTAAGCAACAATTTCTTGAAGTTTCTCTCAGGAAATAAGCTTCAATGTTATAATGCTTCAATGTTACAATAGTAATGGTAATAATGACAACCAACAACTGATACCATTATTCTACATTAGCAACCATGCACAACAACATAAAATAATGATCCAGCTAAATATTAATATCTACAATAGCATTGTGCACATTTATCTCGGCTACGTATATAGCCACAACTAACACATTACTATCTAAAACATTTTTCACATTCACATAAAATTAAGCAGGCAAAAACATTTACAAGATCTACATTCTATGCATAGAATAAAAACTGAACATCATTGTAGTACAGACCGATAACAAAACTTACTTTTTCATGACAATTTCCGAGGCACCTTTCGTGTAGATGCGGTAACCTCCGTCTCGAGGCACCACCGTCGACATGGATTTTCTGGCAGAGTTAAATGTATATACTCTGTGGAAACTTTCTTCAGACACTTCATCACGGATGGCCTGATAGCTCTTACCAAGGTCCAAGATAAATCCTAACAAAGAGCACTCGGTTTTGTTTCCAACCTGTTGAACAAGGAGAACTATACAGAGCCATCACACATAATGCAAATAATTTTAATAATCTGTGGAGGGTAATGTAAAAGACTAGGAAAACAAATAATGCATTTTTGCATCAAATCTCTCCCAATATAAAAAAATATATTATTATATAATACTAATGCTGTAATCTGAATACCAGAGAAAATTAAACTCTTATGACTAAATTCAGATACAGTGGAACCTTAGTTGACGACTGCCCTAGAGTACAAATTTTTAGTTTGACGATGTCAAATTCATCGTAAAATTTTAAATTGGTGTATGACGGTTTACTTGGTAGACGGCGTCTGTTCATACTCGTTTGGGTCGAATGAGCGCGTGGTGCTGGGGGTGCAGGGCAAGGCACTCGGTTTGTTTACAAGTTTATCCCGCGTAGTGATGACCGCGGCCGCGCTTGAATTCTCTGTGAAGAATTTCATTGTTTGCCTGCTTTTTTGCTCTTTTAACATAAAAATTCTTATTATATATCATGCCATGGGTCCCAAGAAAGTCAGTGGTAAAGTTCAACCTAAGGAAACCATTGTGATGATGACCAATGTCCTCAACAATTAAGAAATGGTGTACAATATGGGAAGAAATGCAAACTTTTGTTGAAAAGGCTCATCCAAATCAAGCTGTAGCAGGCCATTGTGTTAACTTTTTTAATGACAATAATGTCTCACTTCAGACAGGTGTTGCAACGTAGGAAAAAACAAGTGTCGCAAGACAGGATTTTAGTGAGAAACAAGCAGTGAGCCACAAGCAAGTCCTAGTGATATGCAGGCAAAACATAGAGAGTACCCCAGAAAAGTCATCATTGCCTGATGTTTAATGGAAGGGGACTACCCTTCCAAACACTAACACCACCTCTCCTCCTCACCGTCTTCCATTTGCCATCAAGAGTCCTCATTCAAGGTAAGATATACATACAGTACTGTATCTTAGCTAGTACAAAATGAGTGTTCTTCGGTATAAAATGTATTTTTAAGCTAATATTTTTAGGGGTGTGGAATGGATTAATTTATTTTCCCATTATTTCTTACGGGAAAATTGGATTGATGAATTTTTGGTTGACGACACGTCTCTGGGAATGAATTACGATCGTAAACAAAGGTACCACTGTACATTTAAAGACAGCAGCCAATGATACAAATGTACCTGATAATTTCAGAAAACATAAATGAACCACATTTTGTATATACAGTAGTACCTCAGCTTACGAATTTAATCCATTCCCAGAGACGGTTCGCGAGTCAAAAATTCGTAAACCGAAGCGAATTTTCCCATAAGAAATAATGTAAATTGAATTAATCCGTTCCACACTCCCCAAAAAATTAACTTCAAAGTAAATTTTATACCTAATTCACCCAATCTTTAGTACTAAAGTATGTACAAGTTATTGCTTACCTTTATTGATCACTCTTGTTGGCGTATGGAAGACAGTGAGGAGGGGGAAGGGGAAGGAGAGGTGTTATAGTGTTTGGAAGGGGAGTCCCCTTCCATTATAACATCAGGCAGTTATGACTTCTTTGGGGTTCACTCTCTGGCATATTTTGCCTGCATACTACTAGGACTAGCTTGCGGCTCACCGCTTGATTTTCTCACTAAAAAGCTATCCATGGAGGATCGTTTTCCCTTTGTTGTAACACTTGTCAGTAGTGAAGCATCACAGTGTCATTAAAAAGGCTAATGCAACAGCCTACTACAACTTACTCTGGGGGAGACGTTTTAACAAAAGTTTGCATATTTTCCCACAGTCTACACCACTTCCTAATTGTTGAGGAAGGAACGTTCTGTACTGCCTTCTCCTTCCCTGAAGACATTTCCTCAACTGGCTCTTAACAACCCGTGTACCATTTTCATGTTTATGAATAATCTCTTGTTTTTCCTCTATGGTCATTCTCACATGTATTTTCTTGGCTTGAACCTTACCACTGGCTTTCTTGGGACCCGTTGCGAGACATAATAACTTTTATGTTCAAATACTCAAAAATCTGAAAAATACTGAAATTCTTAAAAAAGAATTCAGGTGTGATTGTCACTAGGCGGGAGGTACTGACAAACTGAGATGCGGTCACCGTACCACCACGTGCTAGGTCGGCCATACGAGTATCAACAAACTTCCTTCCCCGAGGGAAAGTTCGTAACCCGATTCGGATTTTACAAAGAAATTTTGTTCGTAACCTGAAAAGTTTGTAAAAAAGGGCATTCGTAAACCAAGGTGTCACTGTATATGAATTAGTCTACATTCACAAACCAATTTTTTTAGGCAATTGACACTTCACCAACCCACCTAAATGATTTTATTAAGAGATACAAACACTTTCCAAATATGACGAGGAGTATTGATGCAATACAAGTATAACAGGCGAGTTTGATCACTAAGAGTTTAGCAGTTTCTTCAACTACAGTATATATATGTGTACGTAGTTAATCCATCCAAGTTATTTAATTATAAATAATAATCAAATTTATAGAAAGTGTGTACACAAATGTGGAAGCCCTATTTTACAAATTCAACAGGAAACATTACGTATTACATGTAGGGTATGGAAGGCAACATGACACTTGGGGCAAACTGATTAAACAAAAAACGTTTCATTTGTGGCATATTTATTTGCTCTAAAACCTTTTAGTAGAAGTGCTAGAAGAATTCGGTACACTAAAATTATCCCCATGACAAGAAGCTAAATAATTCATAAAAGTGCATTTAATTTTTTTATCTTTCTTTTAATTTTTTTTATGACAGCTGGAAGAGGAACCCTACAACATGCATAAAATATTCCCATAATCAAGAGCTCTTGCTCTGAACACTGTGCGTCCGAGTGTACTGTATGTCAATTTAACTGAACCTTAGTACAGTACTGACATGTACTCATAATTGCTAGTGCATCTATGCAAATATCAACCACTGCTAACACACCCTTATTTTATCTTTGGAACACTACTGGGCAGCATAACTTAAAACATATCAAGAATTAATAGCAGTGCATTTGTTCCATCCCATAAATATATGGAGAAATCCTGGCAGATACTATAGCTATTTTTCAACCATTTTATTTGACAGGAAGACAAACTGATTTAACTAAAACCAACCTGTTTAGGGAGATCTCCTGGGTTATCTCCTGGCAAAACACGTGATGTATAGGCAGAATTAACACTAATAGCATAGAGCAAAAGCTCTGCAACATTACGTGGTAGTGATTCATATTTTGGTGAGGTTTTGTAGGTTTCACCACCTATATACGACTGAACAACAGTCATACGGTTGGTTGTGAGGGTGCCAGTCTTGTCAGAACAAATGGCTGTGGCGTTACCCATGGTCTCGCAGGCATCCAGATGGCGCACCAAGTTGTTGTCTTTCATCATTTTCTACAGAACATAAATAATATGCATCAATGAACATGTTTAATTACAAAATTATGTTATTGGCTGCCAATCCTTCACATATTTAAACCATTCAGTGAAAACAATACGGCACTTTCCCTATGAGGTACAATCAGTAGTCATTAAATTCAGTAACCTCTGATACTATTATTACAGGATTATGGGATATACCAGAAGTTTTGAGGTAAAAAAATTAACTCCTACAAGTAATTAAGTTTTACCGTTATTTTACCCATACCCTTCAGGAGGCAGTTGTGCGATACAATAGTTTTTTGAAGAAAAATATATTATTTCCCCTGTTTCTTCTAATGTTGTCTCCATCTACATAAAAAAATAATAACAATGCCTAGACATTGATGATATTAAACCACACCTACCCTAAGCTTATTTACCTTACAGAAGGCACACACATATATACAGTATATATATTTTCAGTTGTTGATAAGCCAAAGACATTAATCCTATCCACAAGAAAATACTGTACAAAGTAGTGAAACAACAGAATTAACCTGGAGGGGTACATAATGATTCCTTATTAATAACAAATGAGCTGGGACTTACCTTGACAGAGTAAGCAAGTGATAACGTGACAGCCAGTGGGAGACCCTCCGGCACTGCCACCACCAACACAGTAACACCAATGATGAAGAACTTGACAAAATGGTTAGCATAAAATGGAGACCAGGGTTTCTTTTCCACAACAAAAGTTTGTACACAGAAACGGAGTATCAGAATCACAACTGTTAACACAGCAATGAAAGAACCTGAAAATAAAGGAACATAACTGAATTTTTTGCACAAGTCAAAATTATATAATATACTATTTTTAGTATTTTTTTAAAATTAAAAAAAAAAATTAATGTGAATTAACTTGTAACAAAAGCATCTAGAAATAATTACTGCTACAATAATGAAAATAAAATCACATCAAAACATACAGTAAGGCTGCAGTTTTCCACAAAATGGTTCCTTTGTATGAATGTGGTCAGGGAAAAATTACCAACAGAACATTTAAATATAAACATGATATCGATTCCATTACATAATAACTTCTTAAACTGCCATTCAACCAGGCAATTAATGAAGAGTCCAAACCACCCAATCTTTCTGTCTGTGCATTACTTAGAAGTGCTGCAAACATGAAATATATCTCTTACTGACCTTAGTTTCAAGCCTACTCACTGACTGATGTTTGAAGGACCAAAAGTAACACTAAATTCTTTCTAAAGTCTTCTACAGTTTATGTAGCATGTCCATTAATCAGTTAAGCCTGTATTCAGAATTTGAAATTATGTGAAACAATAGCGCACAAAGAAATTAATATATTAAAAAAAAAAAAAATAGATAATCAAGAGTTTAATAACTTTAAAAAATAGGAACCACTAAAACTAAGTAAATTTAAATAAGCAAATAAGCAATCTATTCAGAGATGGCACACAGATGCCCCACACCCTTTCAATAAAACAAATAAAATAAAAATACTAAGTTATCAAATAATAGTGTTCCCCCAGGATGACCAAAGGTCTTCCCCCAGAATGATCAGAAGACCAAAGGTTCCGCCCCCCCCCCCCTGTGCCCCCTGGATGATCAGAAGGCCTCAGTTTCCTTTTCTTATGAATATGCCAGAACAGTGGATCCTTGACTGTGTGAACTACATGGGACCAATCCCAATTCGTTGGAGTGAGGGATTTGTTGCAACTGGAGATGCCTTCACGAGGCAGTTGTGTGATGCAATTTTTCTTTTCTTAAAAAGATAAATATATTGTCGAAAAATATCCCCCGTTTGTCGAAAAATATCCCCCGTTTCTTCTAACGTCTCCATCTACATAAAACATAAAAAATGACTGTTTCCATTCATCCCTAATATTTTCAGCACTAAATCTTATTTCAAGTAAATATTCAATTTCAATCTGTCATATGATGAACAACTTTCCCACAGGTCTGTGAACTCTGGCCCTGCTTCCTAAGCAAATCCCAATATCCCCAGCTTCGCTGAAAATATTGAAAATTATTGTTAATTATTTCTTCGCTAAAAATCTAAAAAAAAAACTTGTTTGGCGTATTTGGCAAGTAAATCTGGCCAGGAAAGTGAGTGTTGCAAGCAGAGATTCTTTGAAACAAGGTCACACTATACTTACAATGAAAGCAGACCTTGGCACTAGAGAACGTTCTTACGGGAAACAAAACCATGCAGTAAAGCGAGAAGTATTGCATCGACTAACACTAATATAAAAAAAAAAAAATTTAAGTAACAGGAATAACAAAACTTCGGAACCAAAATAAAAAAGTAAACATAGGCTTACCAGCATAACCAATTTGAATAGCCAGCTTTGTAAGCTTAGCTTGTAACACCGACTTCTCTTGACTACCTGATGGTCTGTGTGGTGCTTCCTCCTCCTCCTCCTCCTCTTTTGAATGTTTATTATTTCTTACATCCCCATCGGCATTAGCAGAGTTGACCGTCACGTGGTGAGAGTTACCCGTCACCGCAGCAGCCTCACCGTCCCCTTGCTTGTCTGTAAAACACATCAGTAATTAGATATTGCTACAACGTTTTAAGCTTAATCAGAGCATTCTCAAGCGAAGCAGTAATGACAATGAATGATAACTGTTGAGAGAAAATATTATAAGTCAATAATGATGAATAATTTCATTCAAAAGTCAAATAATCATGCATTAATATTATGAAAACTAACTTGAATTCTATTATTACACAAAACCAATACTATAATTGGCTTCAGCTTAATTTTTCTAATAAAAATTAGGCATTGAACTTTGCCAAAACAATGAGTTGTATACTTTTGAAGCACACATATAACTTAGCAAAGCCATTTTACATGAACATCAGAGGATCAGCAGAATCTACCACAACAACAATTTGGCAACATACAAAAGACATTACAAACAGCAAGACCAGAAAATGAAAAATTACCTACTGTAATTGAGACTTAACATTGTCTTGGCAAGGACACAGTGTATAAAAATAGAAGACTGATATCCAAACAGCAACATCAAACACACAAAAAACACGCAATTGAATAGATGGGACACGATAAAAGGTGGATGAAAGTAAATGACAAAACATATCCTGAAAAGAAAAAACCAGGTAGCAGGAGGATGTGAAATACTAAAGCCAGTAGAGCCATACTAGGATTGGCGTCAATCAACTCTTCGCCCGAGTCGCCCTTCTTCTGTTTTTTCCGCTGCTTTTTGGCCTCTGTTTTTTGGGCACAAGCGGTGATTTGATGATGATGATGGATTCGGAAGGCAACAACGGTAGTGGTTGGTTGGTTGGTCAGGGGTTACATGCAAAAAAAAGATGTTCAAAATAATAAAATCATTAGTACTAGAGACAGAGCCGTCTTACCGCATGGGCCCCGATGGGCACTTGCTTGGGAGGGGGGCCCCACGAGTATGGGGTTCAATGTTCATTATGGAAGCAGAATGTTGAAATATTTAGGTCTTGTTGCAAGCACACTTATATAACCCTACATCCTGGTGTGGGACTAAATATTTAAGATATATATTTCCAGGTGAATAACCCTTTCAGCAGAAATGAAAATGTTTTGAGAGTTTTGTTCTTCCCACAGAAGAGGAAGAGAGCTAAAGAGGAGAAAATAGAAAAACTTCCAAAAATAACATCATAGCTCAACACAGGTACAATGACAGCCACTCCTACCATTCTTTCAGATATAGCATTCACATCAGCATACATTCCTGCACATTCACTGCTTCCTTCAGATATAGCATCCACATCATCCATTCAATCATCCAGTTTCAGCAGACATACCATCATTGCCTGTTGCTGCTGCTGGTGACATTTTATAAGAGGAACTACCCAAATCTGTAACGGTAAACAAGTTTGTAATTCAAGAGACAGATCCGGGGCTATGGAACATTAATGATACTAACAATAGATTACTGGATTTGTAGTGGCTCCTCTTCATGTCAGAATCATGATAGCAACCTTTACTGCAACCTTTCAAACTCACTCAGTGTATAAAACACCTTGAGTAGAGAATATGAAGGCAAGGTATTTATCGAACAATGTATGTGTTCAAACGTGAACTGCGGAATGGCAAGTATGTAAAACGTGAGTCGCCTATTGTCCAAGAAAGAATCTCCCTTTGCTACATTGGGGTTCAATGCCTGGAAGCCCAGCAATGTTATTGTAAAACATGAAAATGGAGAACATCAAAAGTGCATGACAGCATATTTGATAAGGCATAAACTGGAAGTGTAGATTCTTTATATTACTTGAGCAACATTACTCACAGCAGGAATATTAGCATAAACTGTTGACATGCGTGGTTTCTATAATTCACTTTCTTGCCTCTAGAGGTTTTCCATTTTGTGGAGAAAATCAGATTATTGGGTTGGCAAAATATGGCAACTATTTAGGTATACTAGAGCTGCTGAGTGAATTTGACCCTTTCTTTGAAGAACATCTAAAAATGTATGGAAATCCTGGAAAAGGGAATCCATCATATTTATCTGCAAATATTTGTGAGGAATTTATTTAATTAATAGGACAACAGGTTCTTTGTACTATTCTTGAAGAAGTAAAAAGAGTCAAAGTATTATTCATAAGTGTAGATTCCACTCCAGACATCTCACACACAGATCAACTGACATTTACTGTCTGATACATTAAAGGCTCTGAGCCTGTCGAACGTTTCTTGATGTTCATCCCATCTTTTCTCATGGAGCAAAGGATCTAACAGACACTGTCGTGGATTTTCTTAATGAGAACAAAATTCCACTATCAAACTGACGTGGTCAGTCATACGATAATGCCTCAAATATGTCTGGACGATATACTGGATTGCAAGCACGGATTCATCAACTCAATGAGTTTGCCATCTATGTCCCCTGTGCTGGACACAGCCTGAACTTGGTGGGAGTAAAAGCAGCAGTGTTGTCTACAGACTGTCAAATTATTTTACTTTGTTCAGCATCTGTATTCATTTTTTGCTGGTTCTACTCATCGCTGGAATGTATTGACATCATCTTTAGGAAAAGATTTTGTGGTCAAGCGTCTGTCTGACACACGATGGTCAGCACATTTTGATGCTGTTCATGCTCTGTATGGGGGTTTCGAGAAAATAAAACATGCACTGGATTCTCTATCAGCTGACAATGAACAGCAAGTGAATACAAGGCGAGAGGCAGAAGGATTGAGCAAAAAATGGAAAACCTGGAAACAATCTTTCTCACAATTCTTTGGAATGACATGCTAGAAAGAATGAACAAAACAAACAAGGTCCTGCAATCAAAGGATGTGAACATCCTTGTTGCCACGAATCTTCTTGAGTCTATGAAAACCTATCTTCAGGAAACTAGAGACAAATTTAGTGAATATGAATTCAAAGCCAGGAGTATGTGTCCAGATACAGATTACAGTGATGGGAAAAACGGGAACGAAAACGAAGTGTGTGTCTTAGTAGATATGATGGATCAGCAGAAGAGGTACTTCTCATTAAAAACTAAAAATTCAAGGTGGAAACTTTCCTCCCTATTCTGGACATACTAATCTTTGAACTGACAAAATGTGCAGAGGCTTATTCACAGATTGGAAATCTGTTTTCTTTCTTCAGTGAATTGAAAACCATTGTTTTTGATGCACTAAAGAAAAAGTGTGAACATCCGGCTAATATGTATCACAAAGACCTGAATTATGATGATTTTTTTAAATGAATGAGAGCATTTCAAGCACTACATGGCTCTTAAAAATTGTGAGACTCTCCCTGCACTGTACAGAAAAAAATGTCAGACAATTTGAAACATGTATTCCCGAATGTTGAAATTGCACTCTGTATTCATATACAAGATGTTGACCAACTGCACAGAATATTCTTTTTCAAGACTGAAACTAAAAAATCTGTGTCGTAGCACAATGGGGCAGTATTATTTGAACCGACTTTCACTCATGTGCAAGGAAAATGACATCCTGAAGACCATTGACTTCAAGCTAATAATAAAGCAATTCTCTGAAAAGAAATGCCGCAAATGCTTGTTATAATAAGAAGGTCGTACTGTGCCATCTAATCTGTGTAGCTTACCGAGTATTAATGTGTTTTTCAAGCCTTGTGTATTGGTCAAATGTTTATCATGTTGATTAGTTGCTGCTCTACAGCACGTTTTTAATATTTTGACACCAGTTTCGTTAATGTGCCAAAAACATAAGTATTTGTTTAATATCATTGACCATTTACTTTTTATTCCTGTGAGTGGTTGTCGTAGAGGGTCCCCAGCACACTGGTTTGCCCAGGTGCCCATCATGCTGTTAAGACGGCCCTGGTATGCATGTCTTTCAATGCATCCCATACTCGATTATTTGTTAAATTCACTGCAAACCTTAGATTAACATTAACAACATTAAGAGTATTGTTAAACAGCAACAAATCTGACCTCCTGGTATGACGACCATAAGAACTACTGAAACTTAAGTTTTTCTGAAGGAAATGTTGCCATCCCTAAGCTATTACTCAAATAGAATACTCTACAGTAATTTTAAAGTTCTTATTAAAATCTAATAACTGGCTTTACTAACATGCCTAATCTAGAATATCATTCGCTTTTATAAAGAAAGAAACCTTGGCTATAAAGTTGTCAGGTGCAACATGCATACTTATGCCAGAGGGTGGGTCTCAAAAAGACGGTGTCAGGTGGATGCCTATTGCTATGATGTGAAGAAAATGGTTTATATATGATGGCTATTAAATATCAATAGCAAGAATAATCTGCATAAAATGAATATGCTGTGGCAAAAAAAAAAAAAAAAAAAAAAGACAGACAGTCTGAGCTTCATTGGTTTTAATCTACAGTAACAATATAATTTTCAGCCAAGATCATGAAATTGAAAGAAAACACCAAATCTGAAGTATAATTGTACACACTATAACTCCCCCCCCCCCCACAATGAAACTCAGTTTAAATGCCTGAAGAACTACAGACCTAAACGTAACTAACCACAAAAGATTTTTTGGTTAAGAAAGCTTCAAACAAGAGGTAAATACGACCACGAGAGTAACATTACCTTTTTTTCGTTTCTTCGCTTCAACCTGTTCTTCGTCTGCTGCAGCTCCGAGTAGCGTGAAGATGATACCTGCCTGAGAGTTCACCCCAACGGCAGTGACCAGCATCTTCCCACTCCCCTCCATCACATGAGTCCCTGTACCAAAGAAAAACAATGATGTTCTTTGGGACAAGATACATTTAATTTATACAGAAGGGGTAAAGTGACACAACCTATTTTTAAACACCAGGTATTTACATTTCCAGGCCGGGAAAAATGACCGAGGTAAAACAAATTTTCCAAACATTTTTCTCAAAGCACATAAATGACAATGTGGTTGAATAGTTTATATTATGTATGAAGGTTTTACCTGAAGGCCAAGTGCTACATCTTAGTCATTCAGTACAATACAAAATTACTTTTGGCTTTTTATATGCTAAAATTATACCACACTTACTTCACATTGCTTTTGTTTCAAAATCTCACCCCATCAATGTATGAATCATTTTGGTTACTTGCCAATATTCTACTTTCTTCACATAAAACACAACTATACCATACAGCCCTCCAATCAAACTTTACTGTTACGCATCTCGCCACTACATTATCTCCACTGAACACTTCTTCAATGACTATGGCTGGGATAAAAAAAGTTTGATAACACTGATCAGCTACTGCCAGTCTACTAACAGAATGATGAGGTTGCGTGATCTAGCATACCTGGAGCATACCTGGAGAGGGTTTTAGGAGTTTTTCTACAATCCGAGCCCGGCCTGAGGCCAGGCTTAACTTGTGATAACTTGGTCCAACAGGCTGTTGCTTGGAGCAGCCCGCAGGCCCACATATCCACTACAGCCTGGTTAGTCTGGCACTTGTTGCAAGAACCTGTCCAAGTGGCTCTTAGATACCTCTACCTTCATTTCGGTAATATTTCTAATGCTTGCCGAGAGGGTGTTGAATAGCTGTGGACCCCTGATGTTCAGATAGTGTTCTCCGATTGTGCATATAGCAGCAACTCTACCCCTCACTGGTTCTATTCTGCATTTCCTTCCGTACCTTTCACTCCAGTATGTTGTTCTACTGTGCATATTAGGGACCTGGCCCTCAAGTTTCTTCCATATATATATATATTATTGATACCTTTCTCGTCTCCTTTCCAGAGTACATTTTAAGAGCTTTGAGATGGTCCCAATAATTTTAAAGTTTAATAATAATATATATATTATATATTAGTATATTTTGGTAGCAGTCTTTCTTGTAAACATATGCTGTTGAATATGACCGAAAGGGTAAGATTAATGATTCTAACAAGAATCTTCTCAATATTTCTCATATTTTTCTTTGCTGTCGAGGAAAGTTGGAAAATGAACTCTCCAAAAGTTCATTTTCGCAATTAATATGGCCTGATGCCTAGAAATGCGTTTCGCAAGGCACTCCTCACATTTTCAAAGACAAATTTACAATGCATTAGCAAGAGCTTGTATTCTCTTGGAGTAAGGTGGTACAGGACGTGATTGAGATGAACAAGTGGATGAAACAATGGATATTAATAGGCCATTATTAATAGCCTATGTTCATGCTTTTATTGTCTCTGTGATGGTTCAGGGTCTTGAAGTGGATAGAATGCAATTGTTGTTGATTGCTGGTCTTGACTTTTTGATGTGTAGAGCCTCACTGATGTCCAGTCTTCTGTTGTCATTATGTCTGTCAATTATTTCAGTGTTGCTTGTTAAGATGTCTCTGGTGATGGTCTGGTTGTGTGAGGAGATTATATGCCCCTTGATGGAGCCCTGTTGTTTGTGCATTGTTAATCGCCTAGAGAGAGAGACATTGTTGTCTTGTCTATATACCGAGATCTTTGGGGCCGACAGTCCCCAAGTGGGCATGTGAAGTCATAGATGACATTGGTTTCTTTCAAGGCATTCTGTTTGGTGTCTGGAGAGTTCTTCAGGAGTATGTTGGCGGTCTAGTGGCGGCCCAGAGACCGCCAATCTACTCGTGAAGAAGACCATGATATATATGGTCGTGATATGTATATCACGTAGACTGTGATATGCAACACGTGTATCGTCCCATTCCCCCCTCTCCTCACATCCTTGGGAAATCTCCATCCTCTGTGCCACATCCATCCTTTCCTACGCTACACGAGAGTATACAAAACAGGAGGGCAACCAACAATACAGACGTTCAGGCCAGAAAACCACAGTAAAAAAGTGTCTCTTTCACTAAATTTCATGTTAATGTACAGTACAAAATTTGGCAAAAAAAATTAAATTGTGAATAAAGGCTTTATAAAATGTATAGCTTCTTACTTTGGGGTCCAGTCAACCTCTTTCCTCACCATGTATTAAAACTTATTTTTTGACAAATTACAGCAAGTCAGGGATCCATTTTTAACAGCTGCTGTTGACCAGATGCTACAGAGGCAAGTGCACTGATAAGAAAACAAGGCCCTGTAAAGCATTGCATGCACTGTGAAAAAAAAATATGTTGAACAGAATCAAAATAGCTTTAAGACTGCTCACTGCAGGGACTACTCAGTGTAAGACATCAGCAACACAGCAAGATCATACCTTCATCTCCGATGTTTAATAATAATCATAAATACAGTGTATACGAGATGCTACTGGTGGATTTCTTATCAGTTATATTAGCTATTTATTCCTTTTACACAAAAAAACAGCGTTGAATGTAATGAAAAGCTATTTTCTGGGTAAGTCCCGTCAACTCCATGGAGGTATCGAACTGATATTAGCCATATTTGTCTGGGGCTTCAGTCATAGGGAGTTCTTATGACTACTGGGAACCATGAGCCAGAACCTGGTTCCATCAAAGGCAAAGGGAGCAAACTCCACTCTGAGAATATATTCATGTCTGCCATCGACTAGGGTTTAGCAACCAGAGAGGTAGGCACCCCAAAACAGACCCCAACTGGTAGAAAATTGAAACCCAAAACAAGAGTCCAAGAACTCTCCAACTCCTTCCAAGAAAAACATTGTAACAAGCAAATCGTCACCAAACCAACGTGGCGCTCATTTGCACCCCCGCCCCTCGGGAGGGGGAGGGGGAGGGGGTAGCTTCCGCCCACCCAAGCCGGCTGCCTGCTTACCAGTTCTAAGCAATTGGTAAGTTCTAAGCAACTCGGAGACGGAATTGTAAACAGAAACGGAAGAAAGCAAATGTAACGAAAAAACACCGATCTGAGAGAGGGAGGGTGCCAGGGAACATCTGGGAGCTAACCGAGAAAATGACGTTTCATTACATTTAACACTGGTTTTCTGTGGGGATTCCTGTCGGCTTCCTGGAGCTAGTTACCCTAAGATAAGTAAACAAGGGACTTACCCGGGAGGCGTCAGCACTGTGTGCAAAATGACAAAGACGGGACAACTGGCTGCAACCAACAGCCCAAGGCCACACAAGACCTCTGCGGGACCAAAACTTTCACAAGATAATAGGCGGCCAGGGGCCCTGTTCGACCTTCAAAACCCCTGTGCCCGAATGTCAGCCCAAGACATGTTCCCGTAAACAACAGCAAGAGCCGCAAACTTCCAAACATCATGGGCATGAAGGTAGACCGCAGGCTGACTAGACTTGATAACCCTGCAGACAACCCGAGAAACTTGAGCCCTGGAACAGGAAACGAAGGATACCGGATCAACCTAAAGCGCGTCCCCAGATACAGAATCTGAGGTACACAAGTAACGGCGTAAAACCACAACCGAACACAAAACATGATGCAACCCTGGCTTGACCAACCAAGCATCAATAACCCACGGACCCCTCCGAAAGCCCGCCGTCTCATTCTTCGCCAGAATAGGAGGCGGCAGCTGAAAACTAACAAAATGTCTACCAGGACTGAAAGGGCAGAAACCCCTGTGCCGGAGGAGAGCATGAAGCTCCGACCACGACCCCCAGAGGCCAAAGTAAAAAAAAAAGCAAAGAATCAATCCTGCCAAAATGCATCTACCACAACGGCTTCACCCCTAGCAAAAAGAAATGACAGTCTGCAAGCCAGGAAGACGCCGGAACCTCATAACGCACCCAATACGGGTAAGAGGATCCAAACTCTAGAGAGACCAGGTCCATCACAGCGGCAAAGTCCGAGTCTCACAGGAGGTACACACCCAGGGCCTCCCAAACCTCCGCAGGGGAAATCCGAGAGGTGGAAAACCTTCGTAAAGACAAAGCTGTGGAACCCAAAGGAACCTGGAAACAAACATGGGGAGGAAAGGGGGGGGGAGCCGAACCCACATCAAATTCATACTAGGAAGGGGGATACGAAAACCCCCGAACCTTGCAATAGCAAACCCCACCCCAGAGGGTACCAAAGCCCAGGCAGGATTAAACAGGGCCCAAGTGCCCCAGGGTGACTCGCCCCCACCCCAGCCTCAGAAGCCTCAAAACCAGGCTGAGCCATCCTTCACACCCTCCACCCTTGAAGAAAAGCCAGAGTCCAAGGGAAAGGCATCAAAGAAGGGGGGCCTGCTGATAAGACCCTGGCCTTGGTGGGAGGATCAGGCTCAAAGGTCTCCATTCCAGCATCGAATGAGACAGCCCCCGGAGCCGCCCGAGTCTCGTCCCCAACTAAACCTCGTCCCGACTCTGAAACCCTCAGACGTTGGGAGCCGGCAGCAGTGGGAGAGTGGGAGGGAAGTGTAGGAGCAGGGCAAACATCACCAACAGGAGAAGTACTCATGGGTGCAGACTGAACCAAGGTCAAAGCAGCCAACACCCTCTCCCCCCCCCCCCCCAAGTCTGGGTCCCTAAAATAAAAAAGGGCAGCCCCGGGGCATTTGAACGGGGCGACCAACTTAGGTTTTTGTTGGTGCAATGCGCGAACATGCAACGCAACAGCTCCTTGATCCTCCTAATATCTTCTGAAGAAGAATGGGTAAATTTGATAAGGAGTGGGGAACAAGTCTCACACAATCCCAAGTCGAAGATGTCGTCGACCCAACAAGCAGCATGACTGATGCAAAACAGTTGATCGTCACCCCGAGACCAGGGCAACAAACAACACTTAAACTCGCACAAGGCGAGATGGGACTCTGAAGACATATCCATGTTCACCAGAGCCCTGATGAGGGTTTCCAGGGCCCACAGGGAGAGGTGTCCCTATGGAAACCCAGGCACTGGTGCTGCAAAGAAGGTTGAACCCAGTTTATATACCAGGCAAACTGACCCACGCAAAGGGAGCAGCCTCAGGGATCGAGTGGAATACTACCAGACGGAACCTAGCCGTACCTAATGGGAAGCCGGCAGCCCTCCACGAGACAGGAAAGAACTGAAAAGAATGAAGAGAAACGCTGAAAGTACACCACAACAAGGAGGAGGCCAGAGACACAGCCGCTGCTAGTATGCAAGCTGCTCAGCACCATGCGCCCTATCCAGCAACAAACACTCCCTACCCAGGGCCAAACGAAAGCACCAAGACCACCGTTGACCCCAAGGGCAAGGCAGATATCAAGCGAGCGCAACCCCTACAAGAGTGAGATCCCGAAAGCCCCAGGGAAGATAACCCTGAGACGTAAGGGTTGTACTTACAGGGAGCCTAGGGAAGATAACCCTAAGCACATGCAGCTCGAAGTACTGGTATTCCTGGCCAATGCACCAACACACAGCAGGGACAACCACTTGTGGAAAAATCCTGGCAGGAAATGGAGGCTAGAGATAATGTCAGCCCCCAACCTGCTTCAGTTGACTAACTGATAAGCAGGCAGCCGGCTTGGGTGGGAATTTCCCTTCGTGTTCGGGGGGGGGGGGGAGGAGGAGGAGGAGGAGGAGGAGGAGGAGGAGGAGGAGGAGGAGGAGGAGGAGGAGGAGGAGGAGGATTATATTTCTAATACCCTCTCAGCAAGCATTAGAAATATTGCCAAAACAAAGGTGGAGGTTTTCAAGAACCACATGGACAGGTTCTTGCAACAAGTGCCAGGCCGGCACGAATGAGTGACTTGTTGGTTTGATGATGATTTGCTTGTTACCTTGTTTTTCTTGGGGCAAGTTCTTGGGCACTGTTTGGTCTTGGGTTGCAATTTTCTACCAGTTGGGGGTCTGTTTTGGGGCACCTACATTTCTGGTTGCCTAACCCCGGTCAATGGCAGATAAGAATACTCTCTCAAAGAGTGTTGTTTTCATAGACCATTGCTCCCTTCGCCTCTCTGAGGGAACTAGGTTCTGGCTTATTAATCCTGGTAGGCATAAGAACTCCATATGACTGAAGCCTCAGACTATTATAGCTAATATCAGTCCCATAGCTTCAAGGAGCCAACAGGGCTCCACACAGATAATGTATTATGCTTTGGAATACACAGAAAACTTTAGCACAAAAATTCTCATGTTAGAGAATACAAAACAAGAAGATTTGACTGTAATAAGAAATATCTGTCAAAAGATGAACTGAGAAACATCATCCATTTTTGGAAACAATTATAATCCTACCGTACTTTCCTATACAAAAGATTATAGTTTTTATTAATTTATACCTGAGAGCAGCATTGGATCAGTGTCAGCCCCTTTCTTAACATGGTCTGATTCTCCTGTTAGAGACGACTCGTCTATCTTCAAGTCGTTACTCTGTATCAAGATACCATCAGTTGGTAGCAAATCACCATACTTGATCTGAAAAATTAAGATTATGAAAATATTTCAGTCAAGCATCATCCTACATTTAGAATATGCTAATTTTGTAATAAATATAAAGTTGAGCCAACAACATGACATCATTGGCAACAAATTCATCTTATTCATAACTTGCATTTGTTTCCTTAAAGAAATACCAAACTGAAGAAAGATTTTATTTGGAGGTAACTTTCCACCTGTTAAGACTGTCAGATTTGATTAAGCCCTTACAGATGATATGTTATCACAAGATGAAGTCTACCCCTCAAATTCCATGTTGTGTTCTGTTTTACAAATTCAATTCTTATAATTTTTTAACATAACTAAGATAACCACTGTTCTTTAGGCATTCCTTGTTTCAGACCATATTTAAAAACTTGCATGTAACTAATCCAAACCAGTGAGCAGATTCCTTTTGCATAGAGTTGCTGCTAGGTTTTCAACTTCCAATAAAGCAAAACAGTAATGTCACTGAAAATATGTAATTTTTGCACTTATAAAAAGATAATGCGAGTTTTGCAAGAATTTGAACCACCATCCATGAGGAGAGAAATTGAAGCAGAGCTATCTGATAGACCACTGACCAGCAGCAGAGATGATCCAACAGTGGTAGACAGATGGAACAAGTGATATAAGAAAGTGGATGTTTAGTTTCAAAGCATCATACAACAGAGTATTGAGAAGTAAGGAATCATTCAGATCCTTGAATACCTCATAGGTCAAACCAATTTTGGAGTATGCAGCTCCAGCATAGAGTCCAGATATAGTCAAACATAAAACAAAGTTAGAAAAAGTTCAAAGGTATACCACCAGGCTAGTTCCCAAGCTGAGAGGTATGAGCTACATAAACTACTGGAATTAAACCTCACGACAATGCAAGACAAGAGTTATCCGAAACATAATTACCACCTATAAAATTCTCAGAGGAACTGACAGGGTAGATAAAGAAACTATTTAGCACTGGTGGTTCATTTAGCACAAGGGGACTCGGGTGGACATTTGGTACCCATATAGGCCACAGTTATATTAGAAGAAAAAATTCATTGTCTAAGTAGTGTCTAAGAAATGAAATGCATTAGGAAGTGATGTGGTGGAGGCCAACTCCATACACAGTTTCAACTGTAGATATTAGAGCGCCCAACAGGCTCAGGAACCTGTATACCAGGTGACTGACAGTCGAGAGGCAGGACCAAATAGCTGAAGCTCAACCCTGCAAGCTCAACTAGGTGACTACCATTAGAGTAGCTCTCATCCTGTAATAATTTATGTGTAATTACAAGGTTGTGTAGCACCAGACCATGTTTAACCTCTTCTCTAAGTTGGTTGTGCACAAACAGCGCAACAAACTCGCATTTTTATGGACAGTGGTCCAAATCCTGGCAGAAGCCATTGTATTTTAATGTTATTTCCCAACATTGTGAACTCAACAAAAAACAAATAAAGACCATAACTGATGATGAAACCTGCAATTATTAAAAAAAAAGCAGTAATAAAATAAACTGTTCTGAACAAGGTTGGTAACGAGATGATGCACTGACCAATATTCATCACTCCTACCAGTCACCATGCCAGTCACCCCCCGCCAGTCACCCCCCGCCAGTCAATCTTCAGACTACCAAGAAGACTATAATGAAAAAATGTCTTGTAAATATCCATCAATCAAACCGACCATGGAATAAAATAAAGAATTAATAAACTGAGGAAATAACAGTAATGAAAAGATTGTTATTATTAACAATTAACATGAGAATACTACAATGGGGCAAGAAAAAGCTAGAGGTGACGACTCGGAATACGTAATATACAGCATTCAACAAGAGAGGTATGTGCCTAAGGAGAGCACAACAAGGTGGAGTGTGCCCAAGAATTGCAGTGGCTCTATGATCCCCTGCCCCTATTGTTTTGAGAAGAAATGTGCTTGGTACTAACTTAAATGGCATACGATTTACTGACAAATGGACAGGTATGTCTCATCTAAAAATAACGAGTACAATCTTACTTGGCAAATATCACCGACGACAATATCTCCCACTCCAATCTGCTGAACTTCTCCGCCACGAATAACAGAAAATTTGTGCTCGCCTTCAATACGGTTTTGTAGGCCACGAAATTGTTTTTCTTTTGTGTAGTCATTAAAGGCAGTGACAAAAACAACAACTGCCACAGAAATAAGGATTGCCACACCCTCAATCCATCCAGCTTCTTCCTCACTCTCATCGTGGACCCCAGCTGTAAGAAGACATTTATTAAAACTGCTTCTCAATAATTGTCATTAATAATATGCATTGTATATTGTACATAATGTATACATATATATACGTGTGTGTGTGTGGTGCATGTGTGGTGAGGGTTGTGTGTGTGTACTCGCCTAATTATGATTATGGGGATTGAGCTTTGGCTCTTTGATACCGCCTTTCAATTGACAATCAACTAGTGTACAGGTTCCCGAGCCTACTGGGCTCTATATCGTATCTACATTTGAAATTGTGTATAGAGTCTACCTCCACCACATCACTTCCTAATGCATTCCATCTGTTAACTACTCTGACACTAAAAAAGTTATTTCTAAAGTCCCTTTGGTTCATTTGGGCATTCTGTTTCCATGTGTTCCCTTGTTCAATGTACCACCCTTGTTAAATAGTTTACCTTTATCTACCCTGTTAATTCCTGAGAATTTTGTAGGTAGTGATCATCTCTCTCTCCCTACTCTTCTGTCTTCCAGTGTTGTGAGGTGCATTTCACGCAGCCTTCTCTCGTAACTCATGCCTCTTAGTGCTAGGACTAGCCTAGTGGCATACCTATGAACTTTTTCAAGCTTTGTCTTGTGCTTGACAAGGTATGGGTTCCATGCTGGGGCCGCATACTCCAGGATTGGTGTCACATATGTTTTATACAAGGTTCTGAATGATTCCTTACATAGGTTCCTGAAGGCAGTTCTGATGTTAGCCAGCCTTGCATACACTGCAGATGTTATTCTTTTTATGTGGGCTTCAGGAGATAAGTTTGGTATGATATCAACTCCACGAACTTTCTCTCTCCGTTTCATGAAGGACTTCCTCTCCCATTTGGTATCCTTTGTTTGGCCTCCTGTTTTCTCCACCAAGTTGCATTACCTTACATTTACTCGGGTTGAACTTTAGTAGCCATTTGTTGGACCATTCATTCAGTTTGTCTAGGTCATCTTGTAGCCTCATACTATCCTTCCTCTGTGCTAATCCTCATAATTTTTGCATCAGCAGCAAACAATGAAAGGAATGATTATATACCCTCTGGGAGATCATTTACATGTATCAGGAACAGTATAGGTCCAAGAACTGAACCCTGCGGGACTCCATTGGTCACGCCTCGCCAATCTGAGGCCTCACCCCTCACAGTGACTTGCTGTCTTCTGTTACTTATGTACTCCCTCATTCAATGCAGTACCTTCGCTTTCACTCCTGCCTGCATCTCCAGCTTTTGCACTAGTTTCTTGTGTGGTACTGTGTCAAAGGCTTTCTGACAATCCAAAAATATGCAGTCTGTCCACCCTTTTCTTCCTTGCCTGATCTTAGACTTCAATTAATCCTGTGAGGCATGACTTCAGAATCCCTGAACCCATGCTGGTGTTGTCACAAAGTTCCTTCGCTCCAGATGTTCCACTAGCTTTTTTCGCACAATCCCCATCAACTTGCATGGTATGCAAGTTAGGGACACTGGCCTGTAGTTCAGTGCCTCCTGTCTATCCCCCTTCTTGTATATTGGGACATTAGCCATCTTCCAAATTTTTGGCAGTTTCCCCTGTTACCAGTGATTTGTTATACACTATTGAGTGTGGCAGGTACAGTGCTTCTGCTAATTCCTTTAGTATCCATGGTGATATTCCACCCGGGCCTATAGCCTTTGTCACATCCAACTCTTGCAAAAGCTTCCTAACATCCCCACTGGTAATCGCCAACTCCTCTAGTGGTGCATGGTTCACTATTTCTTCTCTTATATCTGGAAATTCTCCTTGCTCTAATGTGAAGACATCCTGGAATTTCTTATCAAGTTTCTCACACACTTCCTTGTCGTTTGTATTGAATCTATCTGCCCCTATCCTCGGTTTCATTACCCGTTCCTTCACTGTTGTTTTTTCTCCTGTGTGGCTGTGCAGCAATTTAGGTTTGCCTTGCTTGCTATGTCGTTTTTGTATTGCCCTTCTGCCTCTCTTCTCACCCTGACGTATTCATTCCTGGCACTCTAATATCCTTCTCTGCTCTCAAGTCTCCTGTTATTTCTATAGTTTCTCCATGCCCTTTTACTTAGTTGCTTTGTGTGAGTGTAAGTGCGAGTGTGTGTGTGTATGTGTACTGACCTAGTTGTACTTGCCAAGTTGTGCATATGGGGGGATTGAGCTTCAGCTCTTTGATCCCGCCTCTCAACTGTCAATCTACTGGTGTACAGATTCCCAAGCTTCTCGAGCTCTATCATATCTACATTTGGAACTGTGCATGGAGTCAGCCTCCACCATATCACTTCCTAGTGTATTCTATTTACTAACTACTATGACACTGAAAAAGTTCTTTCTAATGTGTCTGTGGCATATTTGGGTACTCTGCCTCCACCTGTGCATGTACCACCTGTGTTAAATAATCCATCCTTGTCTATCCTGTCAATTTCCCTGAGAATTTTGTATGTGGTGATCATGTCTCCCCGAGCTCATCCGTCTTCCACTGATGTGAGGTGAAGTTCACACAGCCTTTCCTTGTAACTCATGCCTCTTAGTTCTGGGACTAGCCTAGTGGCATACCTCTGAACTTTTTTGGGTGTGAGCGAGTGTGAGCGTGAGTGTGTGCGCGCGCAAGAGAGTGAACACACTATTATATATATATATTATATATTATATATATATATATTATATATATATATATTATATATGTTACACATATACACACACACGTACATACAAAGTATATACATATCCAGGGTAGAGGTGAATGTGAAGCACCACACTTGTGGGAAAACAGGCCATTACAGCTTACCTATCTCCTACATTTCCATGATGACTTGGGCAGTATATTGTGTGTTTTGATCTCGGCATTAGAGTGTAATTTGTCAGTTGACTGTTAATAGTTGGCTTGGTTTACTTGTGTATAAAGCCTCGCCAATGTCCAGTTTTCTATTGTCGCTGTATAGTATTTGGTGATTATTTTGGTGTTGTTTGTCAGGATATCTCTGGTGATAACCTGGTTGTGTGTGGTGACTATGTTTCTTGATAGGGCCTTACTGATTGTGCATTGCTAGGCACTGAAATGGATGTTATCTTGCCTATATATTTACTTCATAGCGTCTGACAGTCCCCGAGTGGGCATGTGAAGCAATAGATGACATTTCTCTTTTTCAAGGGGGTTTTGTTTGGCGTCAGAATTTTGTCATGAGCAAGTTGGCAGTCTTATTGCTCTTACAGTACATTATTATTTCAATCTTCTTGCTGGTATTATTAGGGGGGTCACATTTGTATCAATATCTCTGGCCCCTCTCTTCTGTTTTGAGGGCTGGGGAGAAGAAGTTCCTGTAGAATATATTGATAGTACGGAATGGTAATGTACTGTTGTCCATTTCATCTGAAGTTGCACGATGGCTAACCTTCGTTTCAATGACCTCATCGACATATCCATTACTAACAATAGATTCTCTAATGGATATCCTGATAAAACATCAAAATAATATTCAAATAGTGATAATAGAAGATTGGACATCACCGAGGATTTATACAAGCCATCCAAGCAAACTATCAACAGTCAATAATTATCACCAAATTCCACTCTGCCATATTTAACAACACAACGAAACAATATACTGCCCAAGTCAACAAAGAAACATAATTGGTTGATACAATGCAATGGGCATATTGGCCCATAAGTGAGGTGTTTCACCTTCACCTTATTCCCAGCTACAGTATATATCCAGCAGTAATTATTTAATTATATATATATTATATAAATTTTATATTATATATATATACACACACACACACACGTTGTACCTAGTAGCCAGAATGTAGTACTTGGCCTACCATGCAAGGCCCAATTTGCCTAATAAGCCAAGTTCTTAAATTTAAGTATTTTTCAAATTTTTTCTTATGAAATGATAAAGCTATCCTTTTCATTATGTACGAGCCCTTTTTTTTTTTTTTAATTTGAGTTAAAGCTAACGTGGATATATAACCGAACCTACCCTACCTAACCTAAACTCCCATAACTAAGTCAATAAATTACGTTCTTGATAAAATAATATAATAATTCAAATAAACCAATTGGAAACAAATTTTTTAAAATAAAGAAAATCACTCGACCTATTGGGCAAATCGGGCCTTGCAGAGTAGGCCGAGAAGGGCGTTCTGGCCACTAGGTACGACATTATAATTATCATTTTATATATGTACAGTATAATTATTATACATATATATATATATATATATATATATATATATATATATATATATATATATATATATATATATATATATATATATATATATATATATATATATATATATATATATATATATATATATATATATATATATATATATATATATATATATATATATATATATATATATATATATAATTTATTTTAAACTGGTAATAGTTCTAAGTATGGCATACAAAATCTTTTATCATGTGACCACAAATACACACACAAGTTCTTGAGACGGGCACAAATTTTTACAAACTCTCAATATGCACAAAACATTTTACACACAAACCAAACTTATATTCATATACAATTCATATTCTGTACACAAATATAACTCATTCCATTCTTACTTATTTCCCTGCTATCATTCTTAAAATAAGTAAAACAACAAATAACTATTACTGTATCTTGCACACTTGCACATCTCGTCCATCTACCTGCCTCTTGAGCATAGTTGCACATGTTGCCCACCAGCAAACCTCTCGACCACACCAACCTCGTGCCCATCCGGCTCTCAAGCACACTTGCACATCTCGCCCACCTTGCCGCTTGAGTGCTCACTCGACTTGTTTTCTGGCATGTGTTGAGCTCTCGAGCATGTCTCAAGTGCTCTCACTCTTTAATGTCTCTAGCATACCTTGTGATGATTTTGGGACTCGGGGTCCCCACAGCCCGGTCCTCGACCAGGCCTCCAACTGCCTTCCCTCACTCTCTCTATTATTTCTCTGACACTATCTTTAGAAAGCTTAGCATTCTCTATTGGTTATTGTATGTCCAAAAATGCATGA